GCACTATGTTGACTAGAATAGTGTGTGCAAGTTCAATGAGGGAGGAGGATTTGGTATCTTGGACTTATAAATTAAAAATAGGATCCTTTTGAACAAGTGGTTGTGGCGTTATGGAAACGAACAGCAGAGCCTGTGAAGAGAAGTTATTAATGCTAAACCTGGTGGCAACTCTCTTAATCTCTTTTCCTTTGTTAATGTGGCTCAAAAGGGCTCTCCCATCTGGAAAAACATCCTTAATCCTTTTTCTCCATTTTACAATTTTTTTTTGTTTTTTTGCAATTGACTTCTACTTTAGGTATGTGGTGGGGAATGGTAAAAATATTTCTTTTCAGAAGGATGAATGGGCTGAGGGTATCATTCTTAAAGATCAATTTCTTAGGGTGTTTACGTTAGCGGTTAACAAGTGTGGTAGGGTGTGTGAGTATGGGGAATGGGTTGATGAGGCATGGGTTTGGAACATTGAGTTAAGGAGAAGAGTGTTTGGGTGGGAACAACAGCAATGGGACAGTTTTTTCAACACTATAAGGGAATTTAATTTAGTTGAAGGTGAATTGGATAAGCTAATCTAAAAACCAGAGGCCAAAGGAATCTATTCCGTTAAATCTTTTTGTAAAAGGGCCAATAGTGATGAGAATGGAGAGGACAAAATTTGGCGTTATGTTTGGGCAAAGAAAGCTTAGAAATGGTAATGAAATTGAAATTAGTTAGGAGGGGAATGCTTAGAAATAACCAAGCTAAGTGTGTGCTATGTAGGACTGATGATGAATCTATCGACCACCTTTTCTTTCTCTGTAAAGAATCTTATAAGGTTTGAACATATTACTGCAACATGTGGAATCTCCACTAGGTGTCTCTAACAAGGGTTATTGATTTTTTTCATATCTTGGAACGATATCCAATTTAAAGAAGGCGATAAAAGAATTTGGGAAATGGCTTTCTTTGCAATCTGCTGGACTATTTGGTTGGTGTGGAATGATATTGTGTTCAATGGTAAAGCTTGAGATCAGTTACAGGTATGTGATACTTCTAAATTGAGAATGGCTTTGTGGGCATGGGTGTTATGGCTGAAGAACAATCTCTTGACATTGGACATTTTTAGAGAACCAAAAACTGCCATGTTACTTGACAAGCCAAAGAGAATTGATAAATGTATTGAGTGAAAAAAAGGTCTAGGGTTGGCACTTTTAAATTAAACGTTGATGGTGCGGCTAAAGGGAACCCGAGGGAGGCTGGCATTGGAGGGGTTTTTAGAGATGATAATGGCACGGTCAAAATTGTTTTCTCCAAGTCCATTAGGGTTGTTGATGCCAATCTTGCTAAAGTCCTTGCGTTGAGGGAAGCTATGACTATTTGGGCACTTTTTAGTTTGGCATCTTCACATTATTTGACAGTGGAGAGTGATTCCTTAAATACTGTTAAGTGGATCTTTGAACCTTCTAAAGCCCCCTTAAAAGCTTCGAAAATGAATAACTAAAATTGAGGCAGTAAAAAATAGGATTGTTAGCTGGAACATTGAGCACATATTGAGAGATGGTAACCACGTTGCGGACAGTTTGGCTAAGTAAGGAGTTAGCCGTACCGGGCATCGACCGGAAGTTTTCAATGTCACTTGAAGGCTAGTATGGAACTGATGCTTAGGCTTGGTTTGTTTTCTAATGTGCTTTGTCGGGGCTGATATGAGCGTGTAGCATGATGTCAAGTAAGGCTCCTATATGAGAATGAGGCCGAGATTGTTGTTAATATATGGCTGGGTATAAATTTTGGCTTACGTTTCACTATTGTAAGGGTATCAAGGAAGCCCCTGTGTTTTATAACTTTCATTATTTTGTTGTACCAGCTGAGTTTTTGAGGTGCTGGGATGAGTTTGTGACTGGTTGCAGGGGTTTAGTTGCGCTGTATAGTGACCTTAGAGTCGAGTGTCAACTGATGTTTTTCGTTTGGTTCTTGGTTGTTGTAAGAATTTTAGGCTTGTATGCCCTTTATTCGCTGGGTATAGATGCCTAAAATCTCTTTGTTCCCTAAATGAGAGGTTATCCTCAATGATATAAAATCCATTTTTCAAAAAAAAAAAAAATCAATTTGTTTATAGGACAAGTGTTCTTACACTTGTTTACAAATCTTGCTTTACAACCACGAATCATTCCGTAACTAATTGGAAAACAAAATTAAATTAATTAATTAACCTTTAAGTACAAGCTCTTCATGTGTTATAACTAACTCAGCATCCATCAATTGCCACTGGAGCAAAATACTTAAATCCCTTAAATTTTAATCCAAATTTCACACAAATCCATTAATTTTTGAAATAATCTTTCAAAAAAATATCTTCTGTTAGATATTTTACTCTTACAACTATGTGCTGCATAAGTGTTATTTGTTGATATCTTCAGCAAGAAAACTTACAAACTAATTGCTTGAATTCATTCCTTATCTCCACTTGATTATGACTCTATTAGCGGCAGTCACAATGAAAATTTGACTTCACAAATATTGCCATGGAGAGATACTATTTTACATCTGTGACTAGAAATAATGTAAGTAGGTTGTTGATGAACTATCTATGTTTCTTGTCATTACATTTCACGTCAAAATTCTCTCGTACAGCCATTATTTGCGAATCCTAATTGGATCTTTGCCTCAATTTTATGAACAAATTGCTTTTGTGGCTTAAAAATAAAAAAAGAGAAAAAGACATAGGCTTCCTACATATGCCTTGGGGATTTTTGCAAGTTATAAAATCAATTTTGTTTTATTTTCCCTTTTCGCTTGCCTGCAGAGAAGTTTAAGTATAAGAAATTATATGTAAATATTGGCTTGAGTAAAGAGGTCATAACTTCAAATTACTTGGTGAACCTTTTAATTTCTTGGTACCTTGCATAAAATTTGTTCTGTTATGAATTTCAATATTATAACTCATAGGATGGATGATGTTAATCTTTCAGATGTCATCATGTTCCTGTAATTTCTTTCATTTAATACATCTTAGATTGTTATCGATTGATACATAATCTTTTATTTGCAAGCAATAAAAAATTAACTGTTTGATGAAGGTTGATACAACTTGCTATACGATAGAACTGTAACCTGCCAAACAATAAAATGAGCTGCATTCAAAGAATTATCCACTCATATCCCGTTGGAAACTTACGCTCTCGATGCTTTAAGTGAGCCCAGTTTATGAAACAGCTTTTTAATTAATTGCAAAAACAAAAGCAAAGTATTTCACCATCAAAATTTTAGAAATTTTAATTTATATGGAAAGTTCATTTGAATTTTTAGGCAAACCTACAAATCAAAACTTTTTAAAGCTAGGTTAATATATCGTAACAACTATCTAATGAGATTTCTCTATATTTTCAATTAATGTTTTAATAATTCATAAAATTATTAAGAGAATTGAATTTTTTACATTCAATTTTTTATTTGGTACAATATTTTTTCTCTTAATTTAGTTTTTGTTAATATTTTTAATTAGTAAAAATTATTTTATTATTATTTATTTCTTTCATTTTAAAATTTATCTTTTTCCTTAATAAAATTGATTCTTTTATTTTTTTTATTTAAAATAAATAAAAATAGATATAATATTTTAAAAAGTCTCTAAATTATTCAAAAAAAATTCAATCCCTTACATTTATATTTTGAATCAAATAGACCTTATAACTAAAGATTGATCAAAATACCATGTCATTTTATTCTCACATAATACTGATGTGATGTTGATTTAGAGTGTGAAAAATATCATATGAGCATGTCATTATATCATATAAGCATGTCATATCACCATCGACTATGATATATCAATATATAGTTTGACATAAAAATGATAAGTGACGTTTGGATTAGTTGACAGTTAGTCAATTATTAAAAATAAAGACTTTTCAAACGTAAAAATAAAAATATAAAAATTTAATTAAATGTAATAAAAAATAATAATTTATTTGAATTTTTTTAATTTGTTTATAAACTTTTTCAGACATTGTACTATTAAAATATTATTAAATACATTTTTACAGGTTTGTCCAATATTACTTTAACCTCATATTTTGTAAATAACTCTAGTCCAATAACATTTGTTACAGAAGTTCTAGGGAACCAAACAGCTTCTAAAAATACCTATTTAGATATATGGGTTAAGTGCTTTGTCTTGTCATGCTCAGTTGAGGACAGATTTTCCATCAGTCTTCATCCAAATACATACATAAATTACGCTTCCCCAATGCTTTGCAAAGAATCTGTATTGATGTCTGTGATATAATGCATTAGGTTACACTTGTTGAGTTGTCGAGACCTGGCATGAAGGCAGAGATCTTAAGTGGCATAAGGAATTCCATAGTTGGAGTAGGTAGAACAGTAAAAGAAGTGGTGCATGACTTGAGGTATTCCTACTGAGTTCAGGTCCGGATGGACGGAATCGTGCTCCAGAGGTTCGAGCTTACACAATTACCTTGTTGTCTTTGTCTTTTGTCTACCTTCTCTTATTAGTAATTCTCAAGAGACTCGATCATGTAAACGGGTCATTTAGACAATTGTTGATAGACAGGACAAATTCATTTCTTCATTGGAGTAGAACAATTTTCATCCAGGAGAAGAAAGGCAAGAGGAGGTTGCTGTAATCTTCAATATGTTAGGCGTTATGTTTCACATTTACGTTATAGAAAGATCAATGACAAAGTTCCTTTTCGTCTGTTGGAATTGTTTTCTGGGAAAAAGTAGATAATATGCCTTAAACCTAATGCACTGGCTGAGTTCATTAATATTCCGTTAGACCAAACCTTTTTATTTTTGCAAACAAAAAGAAAAAGCATTGCAATTGATCATCAAAATATTTGTTATGGGTTCAAGGACAAGCATAAGAATAATAAGGGAAGAATGAAGGAGCATTTTTGGGTTTTGGCCCAAACGATTCACTTAATCACATATCCAAGGCAACGTGTCAGGCCCGAAAGTGTTACGTGGACGAAACTTTACCTTTGTTCTCCATTGTTTGTCATCCAGTTCTTTGTTCAACCACCTTCTCTCTCTTCTCCTTCAGTTCCTCTCCGTAAACTAAACCCAAAAAAAAAAATGTCAAAACTGTTACTCTTCCACACTGCTCATTCCACTCCCAGAATCCACCCCAGAACTTTCACTTCAATCCTCTCAAGGCCTCTTTTAGTCCCTTCTCTTTCCAAATGCCACTCGCCTATTTCTTTCTTTGCTTCAATTTCTTCTCCAGCTCTCCACCCTCACCCCCACCTCCAAAGACAAAACTTTTCATTCTCTTTTTCCTTTTCCACCCGAGCTTTCGATGATTCCTCATCCTCCGCCGAGACCCAGAATGAAAAAGCAGAAAAAATTGGGAGTCAAAGTGGTGCAAAGTTTGAGGCTGAGGATTATCCGAGTGGAGAAGTGGAGTATGAGAAGATCAGTGGGTGGAGGAGTTTTGTTGTTAAGTTTAAGATGCTTATTGCATTCCCTTGGGAGAGGGTTCGAAAAGGCAGTGTCTTAACCATGAAACTGCGTGGCCAGGTTTGGTTCTTTTCAGTTTTAATTTTTCCTTAGGCCCTTTCATTTATATATATATATATATATATATATATTGGTTTTATTTTTGCATTGCATTTTTAATGCATTTGGTGAAGCAATAAATGAGGTTCTACAGATGCTAATGGAGTCGCTACTCTAAGGTGAAATGGATACAATATGCAGGAATTGTTTTGTTTGTAGAATCTTATGTATATGGATTGTCATTTTTCTGAAAAATTGAGTTATTTTTAATCTTGTTTAGCTGAGTTGTTGCTGGAATTGTAGTTCTGTCGTACTAGGAAGTCTTCAAGTAATATGCATCTGCGGTGCTACCCCTCTACAAGAAATATTTCTGATTGTTTGATGATCATTTTTTTTTTTTTACATTCTCACCATATTGTTTGCTATTTTAGATTATTCTGTTTTGCAAATGAAATGAGGGAAAACAGTTCATCATGTAAGACAGAACCCTTTGATTTTTGATATTTCAGATTACGCGTACGTCCAGAGTGAGAAGTGTCCAAGATCTAAAACTTGCTAAAATGGCATCTGGATTGGTTCAGCTGTACCCTAATGCCATTAATTTATATTTAAGCTTCTTTTTCCTGAGAAATTGCTACACTGTAGCTTTTGATATAATTGTTATATTTTGGTTTGAAAATTTGTACTGTTTTCATTTTCAGATATCTGATCAGCTAAAGAGCCGTTTCTCTCCAGGACTATCTCTGCCTCAAATTTGTGAGAATTTCGTAAAAGCTGCATATGATCCTCGTATTTCTGGTGTCTATCTCCACATTGAACCTCTGAACTGTGGATGGGGAAAAGTTGAAGAAATTCGGAGGCATATTTTGAATTTTAAGAAATCAGGTAGCCTCATGGAGTTAATTGTCTCACTTCAATTTTGGATATCGGTGCACATGAATTGAACTGTTGGAGCTTGGGTATTTGAAATGAGTGAAAACTGGTGAGTTTATTCATTGAGAAGGAAATAGCTACTGTGGTCGTAACCACATTTAAATAACATTAAAGCATTTTTTTATTGACAAATAAAAGATTCTGTGCGTTCATACATGGACGCTTTTGAACGGAAAAGGTTTTTTTTTCTTTTTAGTGTGTAGGGGGAAAGGGGTGTAATTAGTTATCTGCACAGTGAATAACCTCTGGTACGAATGTCCTTTAGTTATACTGTGCAAACATAATGACCATACCTTAACTCATCTTGCAATGTAAATTCTTTTATCATTTTATTTTTGATTATGTTTTTCAAGCGCTTTTCTCATTAATTAACAAGTGTTACCATATATTAGATATCTGGAGGGTAAAATTTGTTCTATGCATAATGTTAGATATTATTTAACTACTTAGATAATTGTTAAAAGGATTTATAGTTTAATCTTTTATGAAACTTATAGGTAAATTTATCATTGCATATATCCCTGCCTGTGGGGAGAAAGAGTATTACCTTGCCTGCGCATGTGAAGAGATCTATGCCCCACCAAGCGCCTATTTTTCTTTGTATGGTTTGACTGTTCAAGCATCATTCCTTGGAGGTTAGTTGGCATAAATTTATCTCACTCACTTTCTTCTTGTTTCTCTTGTCATTTTTTTTTGGTTTTAATTACTATTGAAAAGCTTGTATGTAGGGGAACCTTAATCTTTTTATTTTTCTTTTCTATTTGGCTACATCTAAAAGGTGGCATGCCCAACGATGATTACAGTTCAAACTTTTATAGATGTGTTGGACATTATTTTCTGTTTCTTTGAGCTTATATCAAATCTTTGGTGAAGTCAATTTAATTTGCGGGTCTAGCTAGGGAGATAAATCAGATGCTTCATGTGGGACTAATTAATTATTTGATTTGAGTTAGGTGACAGGTTCCTAGTGGACAATCTGTCTGAAGCATTTTTATCATTCTTATTTCTAGCCACAACTGACATAATAGGAACTTTACAACTTTGATGCAACAAAATGATTTTTTTTTTCTTTTGGAAATTTAATGGACCTTTTTGTTTTCTGGAGCCTTCTAAATATCCCTTTTCACTTCCTCCTATTTTGAGCTCCCAGACGTTTTGTACATAGAAATAGCCAAATAGGAACAACAATAACAACAAATCAAAATTTTTCCTGTATGTGGTGTTTGTCTTCATGGATCCTATTATGCCATTGTTCTTTTTTAAGGACTATATTCTTTGCAAGATCAATAAAGGAAGTTTCTTTTTGATAGTTTCTGTCACCTTAGATGGCATCCTATATTTAGTAGCATCTTGATACAAGAGTACTTGTGGTCATTCATCTCCATATCCAAATCGCCTTAGATGTTTCTCTTGTGTTTTTCTACAATTATTACAACATCACTTGTCTTGGATGTATTTCTTTTATATCATAAGATTCATCTTAGTGTTCTATATTTGCAACACCCAATTCTTTGACATGTTGATACTTTCCTGCCAAATATTCAGTTCCATAAATCAAGGCTAGTCTTATTTGCCTGTCTTGCAAAAGGTTTTCTTTTTCCTTATGTATGTATTTTTTTTCTCACTCAAGACTCAAGATATGCCACTCCATTTCATCCAACCGGCACAGATCCTTTAAATGAAATTTCCATGAATTCTAGTAGTTTCTAAATCATTGATTCAGGGCACTGAAATTGCCTATTTTGTGGTGTGTCTAGATCTCCAATTCTCATTATCACTCTATTACATATATTTTCTTTACTAAATCTACATCCTATGTACTTCATACAGACCTACTTTAATGGAAACTCTTTTTAACTTCAGAAAGTGATTTGATATTTGCCTCTTAAACTCAAGCTTAGCACTGCCCTGGTTTTTTTCACAACAAATATGTTTAGTAGGGAGCATATACCAAACTTTTGTGTCCTGGATACACCAAATAAGTTTGTTCAATACTAAGGCAAAAGAATAAGACTCAAAAGTTATCCTTTGATCTTCTGTAAGCCTCTGTGTTATCCCTCTGTGTTCCTATCATTGGAATATTGTGTGTGGTTGCCAGCATTGCTAATATAGTTCAACCATTTTGACAAGCTACATCTTTCTTTCTTTCTTTTTTGTTATTATTAAGTTTACAACAACCATTCTAACAAAGCTAAGTACCCGTAGTTTGGTTCGTCCAACCATAAATTCTTTGCTCAGTATCTTGTGAACAATATTTAACTGTGTATTTCATTATAAGAGTTCCAACCTTTCAGAACCATTAAATTGCTAAAACTAGTAATTTTTTCCATGCTGAAATTCAAGTGAGATAATTCTAAATGTTGCAAAGAATAAAAAATTAGAAAGGTGGTTGTGAATTTTTTAGCCATTTAACTTATACGTAATCATTAGTCCTGTGGTTGCGCTGCCATGGAGTATTTGGAGGTGCTAAAAATTACTTATCAGTTGATAAAGCAATTAAGTTTTTTTTTTGTTATTATCATTATTATTTATTTTTTAAAGCATTTGTCGAAGATATTAATTTAGAACCAGATGGAGAAACATTCATGCTGCTGGCCCTAGTTAGCTGGCGATTACGGCTTAGTTCAATTGATTTCTAGCAGAGTTTTGACGGCCCTTATGACAAAGTGTTTCAATATCCCTTCCCTTTGCCAGAAGCTCTTCTTTGGTGATGCAATGATTGTAGTTGAGTGGTTCTTTTAAGATTATTATTGTAATACTTGAAAATGAAAATCATGGCACCACCTCTAGTTAGTTATCTTGAAATATGAATAGGTGGAGGGCTATTGATGGAACCAATAGGTAGTCCATTTGCATCTCATATATGAATAAAATAATCATCTTGCCATTGCTATACGTTCTTTTATGTAGCTCCCTGGTTGATGGTTATACTTTCACATTTTCAACTTTTAGTCTACATCTGTTTAATAGTATTTGTCAATGGCATGGTGGTGGCTTGCATTTTAACAATAGATTGGTGGTATAAATTCTATTTGCAGGTGTTTTTGAGAAGATAGGAATTGAACCACAAGTGCAACGGATTGGTAAATATAAAAGTGCCGGGGATCAGCTTACACGGAAGACTATGTCGGAAGAAAATTGTGAGATGCTTACTTCGTTGCTTGATAACATATATGGGAATTGGTTGGATGTAGTTTCTTCTTCAAAAGGTGCTTTTTCTATTTTATGGTTTTGCTTTGATCTCAAATATTAAAGATGATTTTTGGCTCATGCAAATCTTATACAGGAAAGAAACGAGAAGATGTTGAGAACTTCATTAATGAAGGGATCTATAAAGTAGAAAAGCTGAAAGAGGAGGGCTTGATAACGAATATACATTATGATGATCAGGTAGAATTATCAGATGCTAATGCAGCGTGCAGTTGAAATAAACAAATATATGGCATAATTTCATCTGGGTTTGTACTTGGTAAATCTTATTAATGTAATGCATATAGTGCTCCCTAGCTCCTTAACAGTTGCTTATGGTGGAAAAATTTCCCAAGATCTAGAGCCTCTGAGAGATTAAAAGAAAGAACAAAGCTATTAAGACATACTAATAATCTAGCTGACATTATATATAATTTTATTGAGATGTATAAACTTGGCGGTTCAGACAGCTTGCTATATGTACCATTTACTAACCTTTGGTGCCTGCTTTATGCTTTATATTGAAGAATGCGGCAGAAAGTGGTCATAAACTGCTGTTAGGGGTTGGTCTCCAGTTTAATTTTTAAGCTAGCTCTCTAGATTTATATGACTAATATTTGATGTTTGTAACTTATGTAGGTTATCTCAATGTTAAAAGAGAGGCTTGGAGTCCAAAAGGATAAAAATCTTCTTATGGTTGATTACAGGTAATTTCTGTCTTTTGTCTCCATAATCTTCAGGCATTGAAATTTTTTACTCTATTGTTTCAAATTTTTTGATGATAACCCATTTCTACTATCGGCCCTTAGGGAATTCCAGCAGTTGATCTTTAAATTTTGATTTTAAGGTTTTAGACTTTTAGTTCTGAACTCCTTGGAAGGGTTTGAGAGGGGGGGGGAGGTGGTTATCTAC